AAGCCGAGTTGACTCCATAATTTTATCTGACTAGTTATGCCTGGTTTACAGCACGAACCTTCGTAGGCGAGCGGGAAATGTTGAAGGAGACGTTTTTTTAATGCCTTCATATTTTCGAAAGCGTGAATTGAATCATAACTACTTTGTTTTTCTTTCCCTAAACCCAAAGATATTCATTTAATGGGTTGTTTCTCGCCATTATTATCTTTACTACTAGCAAGAACAATTAATTCAGAACGAATATTTAACCGCTTCAGTGATTTTTACCCATATTCCTTTCGGTCCAGTCGCGTAGGCTTGAGCTGGTCGACGACAACGTTTTTTGAATTGACTGTATCCTGTTTATGACAAGAAGCAACGTCCGCAACCACTGATGTTCAAATCAAGTTGCTGGTAAATAGTACATAAACGCAGATCCTATTGACAGTGCTATAGTTTATTCCACTCTGATTATTAAAAAGCCTTTTCAATGAGGTTTATTTAGTCGTGAGTTTTAAGGACCTATTCACTTAGTTAACTAAACAATCCATAGCAGTTTATTGACACAACTTGTTAAAACACGATCGACGAGATGTATGTTGTTAACCTTATTCGTGGCATCGAAGCCATTTTGCAAATGATGAAACTATAATTAATATTAACTACTCTGATGGAAGTACATTTGTTCAGCATCCATTGTTAGTAAAGCATTAAAACCAGTGAAAAAGTGTCAGTAATTGTTGTTTTCTAAGTTATGGTGGTGTCTTTATTATTATAAACGAAATCTACCTTCAACCATAGTAGAGAACCTCATAGAAAACATTTTTTGGAAAGATCAGAAAAATATTTCAACCAAGTTTTTTGGAAATTTATGTTAATACCATGCAGACAATTTATAAATCAGAGTCTAATTTGCAAATAAAGTGGCAGTGAGGAGTCATTCGACGTTATTTACTTCCTAATGAATAAGTTAGTTTCATTGAGAAAAAATAATTCATCTCATCAGAAATGCGTTGACTCATTGACGTTATTCACTTTCTCGGCTAATGAATTAGTTAGATACATGACAGAAAAATTAATTCATCAGAAATGAGTTGAAGATGCATGACGATAGGGTAGAGCCTCAAAACGTTGGCCGAAACATGTATAAAATTCGTGTTAAATGATAATGCGCTCTTTCTTCCGCTGCGTTTTACTTATCCCTGCACAGCTTCTTGTGTTTTGATTGTGTTCACACCTAGACCGATCGAAAATGAAAGTCTTGAATCTGTTTATGATCTTAATCGGAGTATTCCTGATCACCGAAGGAAAACAAGTCTCCAAAGTCCTAAAAGATGGTAATGTGTATTACAATGGCAATGTGTATTTCGGAAGTGCAGCTCACTCAAAACAGTTTTTGGATATCCTGAAGAGCTTAGACAAGAAGCTGAATAAAATCATGGACAAGTTGAGGACATCTTCCAATGAAATGGGTATGCCATTACTTCTTAAATAAGCATAACTAGCTTTTAAAAGCATGTACATTAGGTGTGTCTTGAAATTTAGAAAGTGGAGAAGATTTACCAGTTGGTCTTATTGCACAAAATGGCGGATTAAATTCAAACAATTTGTTTCTCATCAAGAAGATAAAATCCCAATTCCAACTGTTTGCCATTGACGTATATTTGAAACCAACCTTCCCGATTGGCGGTAAATCATCCAAAATGCAAATATTGATTCTTTGCTTGAAAGTAAAGTTCATGATAACCTTTTCATGCATTGATCATGTTTAGCGCCAAAAAATTGTGCTGAAGTTCTTAAAAGAGGTAAAAACAAAAGTGGGATTTACACAGTCGATCCTGATGGCAAAGGGCGTTTCAAGGTAAGATTATAAAGTTTGGATATAAGTAGAAAAAACAAATTGCAACTTTACATGTGACATTTTCTTTCATAGGTTTTCTGTGACCAGAAGACGAGTGGAGGTGGATGGACAGTCTTCCAAAAGAGACAAGACGGTTCAGTCGACTTCTATCGAGGTTGGGCTGACTATAAGAACGGTTTTGGTAACCTGAAAGGCGAGTTCTGGTTGGGACTGGATAAAATCAACCGGTTGACCCACCAGACTCGTAACCGTCTTCGTGTTGACCTACAAGACACCAAGGGGAACAGCGCGTATGCTGAGTACAACTACTTTGCTGTGACCAGTGAAAGAAACAAGTACAAGCTGAGTCTTGGAACTTATTCAGGTAGGGTAAATAATGTCCCGCTTTTTGAAAGGCTTTTTTCGGGAACGTGGTGGATTGATTAGAGAGCAGGAAAGAGCCTCGGGGAGTGTACTCGGGTGGGTAACATGAAGGGGAGGTCCGACGTATTTTTTTGGGTTGACAATTTTCGTTCCCGGTATTTTTTTGGGGTCAAGAGACCAGCCACGTATTTTTTTAGGTCTCGAAATGAAACCCGTATTTTTCGATTTTTTTATCAGAAAATTATTTTGTTTGATTATTTTCCAGCAAGGCGTGAGTGAGTTCCGTCAAGAAACATACTGATAACAATAAAAGAAGATAAAACAACGTTATTTGTAACGTAATCTTGTTTACTTTTCCTTGGTTCCATATTAATTTATTACACGTCAATCGTTCATGTCACTTTATCGCTTCATCATATTACTTGCACGTGTAAGCCCTTATGCTTAAGAGCGTGCAAAATCATGCATTAGAAGAGCCTGATGAATTCAATAAATCAGTTTTGAAGTATTTAAGTCGTGTATTTTTTTGGATCAGAAATTTGGATGCCATGTATTTTTTTGGGTGTAAAATTTCAGGTTTGAGTATTTTTTTGGGGTTGCAATATGAAGCTCCGTCGGACCCTCCCCCCCAAGTACCAAGTATAATATATGCTAGAAATATGAGCAGTTTTCCTGAATTTATGGATTGGATTTAGTATATAATACATTGTAGCATAGCTTCGATGGAAGCTGTGTTCACTAGCTAAGAAATGGCGTACTTAAATTTGGCTTAGAAATCGAGTTCTGATCGAGTTTTGCGTATCTCAATTGGAATCAAATGTTCGGTAGTTGCATAATGTCTTTGTTTATTCTAGTACTTTTATCACTAGGTACTGCTGGTGACTCGTTGTCACGTAATCGCGGCATGGCCTTCTCCACCAAAGATCGTGACAATGATGTCAGCGCTGGAAAATGTGCAGTGTTATACAAAGGTGCCTGGTGGTACGAAAGTTGTCACAACTCTAACCTGAACGGCCTGTACCATCACGGAAAGCACAAGTCTTTTGCTGATGGAGTCAACTGGAAACATTGGAAAGGCTACTACTACTCTGTCAAGAGAGCAGAAATGAAGATACGACCCGTATAAGAAAAAAAGTCGTCACCAAAAACAGAACGACACGATTCACTGGCCGGACAATTCCATGATCTAATTTGCTATTAGTTTTAACGCAAGGATGTTAAATATTCACTTGAACACAGGTTATAAAAGCGTGTTATATTATTGTAATCTATGTAAGTTGTAATAAGAGGATATATAAGAATCCTTTAAAATTTAAATAATGAAGGGGTAATAAAAGTTGGAAGCATGAAAGTTTGTAGTTAAGGCAATTGAAAACTTTGCACTGTGCGATTTGCATCATTCTGCATTCAGCATTTATCTGTTTAAAAGGTCGACTAACGAGGCATAGGACCGAATTACATTTTTAAACGTGCAAATTGATTTCCATAAGTGGTGTTCTTCTGAGTTGTATGAGCGGCACGGATGAGGTGCTGAGGGCTGATGAGGTGAAGTACCGAAAAATATGTGTTTTGAAGGAATCGAAAATAGTAAAGTGTTAGCTGACGGAGCTCCTCTGGTGGCCCTAATTATGACACTTGAATGATTCCTGGTATGTTGAGGTCTTACGAAAAGGCTTTTCCCTAAATTTTGGATTCCGTCCATGACAACAGGATATAGAGCAGATTAGTGATATGGTTATTGATAAGGTTACGCGCCGCATTGTGATGACGCATTTTAATCAACTGAAAGTGCGACAACCACAGGGAGCCCGGCTTTGGGATTTGTAAATGAATAAATAAATCAATAAAGTGCTTTGGGTTTCCTGTGTTGAGATTTGAAACAAGACGCTGATACGTTGAATTTCCGGTAATCGTACTACCAGTAACTTGATAGCAGATTAACGTAACGTATCAGTGTAACGCACGCCCTACCATTTACCATTTACTACGTTAAATTTGAATTATAAGCTGCCCTCGAGTTACTTACATTAATCTGCTATCAAGTTACCAAATCTCAACACAGGAAACCCAAAGTACTTTATTGACTTATTTCTTCATGTACAAATTCTAAAGCCGGGCTCCCTGTGCAACAACCAATTTTGGTTTATTGCATGCATACGTCACACTAAAACTTTGCACGTGCGATGTATCATGGAATGAACGTCAGGGCAAATATGGCCGTTGTTGTGATGAGAAATGAAGCCAACATGCCTCTAAACTTCTCCTTACCGGAACCGTTTTCAACAAGAAAAGGGTCATTTGCGAGAAAGTTTCATATATTTATCTTTTTTTAAAGGTGGAAGCCACGAAACATGAAGTGATTCAGCGTGCGGTGGTTGATGGGATTGATTTGAAATCAGGCTTTGTGCTCCTAGTCAGATCACTTGGACATCATGACGATGCGCTGATTGAATAATGGAAAACCTGTGTGGCTGTCAATGATTCAAGGTATGTGTCGCGTTTGCAACACTGTATCGTGAACGATTTTAATTTATTAATGACTTCATTGTGGAATGGGTCTAAGGATTTTAATGGCCGGGATTTGGAAACTGGTGCGATGCCCCTCGATGAGAACATGTTGTGCAGGACAAGCTTCTATGCTTTAAATCTCAAATAAAAATAAATGAAATTTCCATACCATATTACATGATCTATGACTTTATTTATACTATTTTATTCATTATTTAACTTTTTAAACTTAATTAACTAGTAGCTTTAATAATTAACTGAACAGATATTTCGTTTCTGCCTCATCTTTTACGATGAAATATTTATGGAGAAAGTGAATTCTAACTAGCTTGTGAAATCTAACTTGGCCGGTGAGGAAATATTTCAAAAGTATCCGGTACTAATCTCATCTTATGCAGGTCGTATTTTCATCTCAGCTCTTTTAGCGGAATAGTTATGTCCTTTCCAATGAAACCAGTTGACTCCATCAGCCGAAGAACTATGTTGTCCGTGATGGTACAGGCCGTTGAGGTTAGAGTTATGACAGTCTTTGTACCACCAGGCACCTTTGTAAGACACTGCACAGTTTCCATTATGGGCATCATTGTCACTATCCTTGGTAGTGAAGGCCATGCCACGATGGTAGGACAGTGAGTCACCAGCAGTACCTTTATGATTTAAAAAAAAGGGTTTGCCAAGTCCCTATCAGGAGTTTCGATTGGCAGTAAACTTTAGAATACCCCGTCACTCATTAATATCACCTCAGGTACTGTCACCGCGGTTCTTGGTCACAGGAAGCCCAATAATTATAAAAACTTTTTTCAAATCACTTCGGGACCTCGGGCCGCGGGTACACTTATAATGCGTTCTAGTAATTGCTTCGTTTTCAAATCACTTCGCGACCTCGGACCGCGGGTACACTGAATGATGTGCTTCGAAGAGTGACGGGGTATTCTAAAGTTGCTCCTGGCAGTAATATTATTATTAAATAAACCTTATATCTTACCGATACGGCGGCCATCTTGAATTCTATTGTTTTAATTAAGAATTTATGGGATGCCGAGGGGGCAATTATTGGGAAATTTATATTCCGCACATCTGTCAGGATGTCTTTTTATACTGATAACTTTTCTATGAGAAGCACATCTAAAATACAATTGAATTTGGTAGTTGGAACAGTATGCGAAATACCAAGACTTTAAATTATTTGAAAACGCATCCTCGCCACTATACATGTTTTATAAATTTTCTACATGCTTGCGCATTCGGCATCCCATCGATTTAATTAAAGATGGCCGCCGTATCGGTAAGAACGTCTATTGGCGGAAGACCAGCTATTGATATAATTTTGGTGCCACAAATTTAGATAAAATCAAGAAAAAATGTTTAAGAGAATTTTTATGAGTAAATTTTACAAACATTAACGCTTATGCTTGTTTCAAGCTCTTTTCCCTTTACTCCGAGTAAGGAAGTATTTTACAAGTGATCGAACAATTTTTTTTTTTGTCTTACCTGAATAAGTTCCAAGGCTCAGTTTGTACTTGCTTCTTTCACTGCTCACAGCAAAGTAGTCGTACTCAGCATACGCGCTTTTCCCCTTGATGTCTTGTAGGTCAACACGAAGACGGTTACGAGTCTGGTGGGTCAACCGGTTGATTTTATCCAGTCCCAACCAGAACTCGCCTTTCAGGTCACCAAAACCGTTCTTATAGTCAGCCCAACCTCGATAGAAGTCGACTGAACCGTCTTGTCTCTTTTGGAAGACTGTCCATCCACCTCCACTCGTCTTCTGGTCACAGTAAACCTGTTTGTGAAAACAAAGATCACATAAAACTTTGGTTTTTCTACTGAATTGATAAATTGATAAATTTTACCTTGAATTTTCCTTTGCCATCAGGATCGACTGTGTAAACGCCACTTTTCTTGCCGCCGTTCTTGAGAACTTCAGCACAGTTTTTGGACACTGAAATGAATTACAGATAAAAGGTTTTCAAACTTTACTTCGGGCGCGGGTAGTATCATTTTGAATAATTATGCATTGACTAAGTGAAATGTTGATTTTTGAATAAAGAGGAAATGCGCCTAAACCGAGTAAGGACTGAGTTTTATTCCTCCTCAAAAACAAATGATTTGAACAACTGATCCTTCCACCGATCTTTCTCCATTTTGCAAAAAAGACACGCCACAAGATTGCTTGACACTATCTTAAATAATCATAAGTTTAAATGGCGTACCAGTTTCGTTAGAAGATGTCCCCAACTTGTCCATGATTTTATTCAGCTTCTTGTCTAAGCTCTTCAGGATATCCAAAAACTGTTTTGAGTGAGCTGCACTTCCGAAATAGACATTGCCATTGTAATACACATTACCATCTTTTTCGACTTTGGAGACTTGTTTTGCTCCAGTAGCGAGGAAAAATCCAGTTATAACCACCAACAAAAAGGCTAAGCCTTTCATTTCAGGTTAGTGTGTTTAACGCGTTGTACCTTTGCACTCGAGTATAGTCAAATGACACATAAAGTTATTCTAGTCTTTATCACTTAGGAAAGCCTTTAACATGAATTTCTAACTTGTTTAAATTTAAGTTTGCCCAGATTTTCTTCCTAGCCAATCGTCATGTTTCAGGTCATTTTTAACATTTGTTTTATTTTGATTTAATGTCTGACTAGTTTCCATATCGTTGGCAATTAAACATGTCCTTTCGTGTATAAGTGCGTTTATTCCGCAACGTAAGAGGCTGATTTTGTTGACCTTTACTTAAGTAACTCAGTACGAGAGATCGAGCACTCAGGTCGACTGAAGGTTTTGCTCTCATGCAAATTGATGCAAGTGCTACTAATACAAGAATATGGAAACAAGACTTCAAATGTTTTTTGCTTGTTTTGCCTTCCGGAATTTACTTCACAATATGACGGAAAATTCAAAAAAAGGAATGCAATGGCGTTCGAAGGCCAGATCGACATGATTAATATTAATATTGCTACTTTTTGGCGGGTGAACAAATTTAATATTTGTTTACTAGTGTTTAGTTAAACTATGTTTTCATTAGGAAAAAAAATGAGAAACCAGAAACCTACAATATAATAAAACTTTCTAAAATATTGTCAGAGCAAGACAAAGGATAGTTTACACGCATTATTTTACCAAATATTGTGCAGTGTTCGTAGATAGTTTTCCAAACCTGTTTAGTTAAACCACTTTACAACATGTTTTATAAGCCTGGGTGTGAATGGGGTATTAGACTAACTAAACAAACTGGCATAGTTTATTGACACAACTTGTTAAAGCACAATGGGATATTTGTTTTTAGCCGAATTCTGAAGCCATTTTGCAAACTATAAAGCTGTAATGTTAACTACTTTGATGGAAGTGTTTTTCTTTAGCTTTCAATTTTCGTAGGTTATTAGTAGAATATACTTTGCGACATGTGCTAATGGTAAAAATTTGATTTGGGAGGAAAGGACGTAAAGTTGGATTTTTCTCTTCTTTGTCGTACGTAATAAAGGGATGTTATGAACAATGGGAAATGGATCGGAGCTCTTTCCAAATTCAAAGTCGCTGATAATGTAACGGCATTCAAAGTATAATAATAGACAGGCTAGGATTGGTTGACAAAGAAAGATCGTTCTAAAACAAGTCTAAAATTCGTGTTTGAGTTTGTATGTCTTTATTGCACAACACCCCTGTGAGTTTTACCATTAGCTGACCTGCTGTCCTTCGCGAGTGCATATGGAAGAAGAAAACACTTAAAATGAAAGTCTTGAGTTTTGCAGTGATTTTGATCGGTTCGTTTCTTGTCAGTAAAGGAAAACCAGTCACCGAAACCAAAACACACGGGAATGTCTACCAATATCAATATTTTGGTACTGCAGCTAATTCAAAGAAGTTATTTGGCGCCCTTAAGAATATAGAAGAGAAACTTAACACCATCATGGATAAAATGGGAGCATCCTTAAACAAAACTGGTAAGAAAAGACTGACATTTCTATCTTCTTGAATTTATGCATCATTGTCAATACTAGGTGTCGCAAGTTATGTCGTGCAAAATCAGAACACTATATATATATTTAAAAAACTCATTAATAATTCATGAAGGAAACACAATAGAAATCATGACCATGAAGGAGGATTTTATATCTGATATAGATTCGTCTTCATTTGCATAAACTGTAACTTGGATTTTCTCTATCAAACTTGGTTCATTTCGTAAAAAAATCGGTACACAATGAGAACAAACATCATAAGTTTTCTAAGCCGTTCAATAATCTCGCAGATCGTGGTTTATCGGGTCTAAAACCACTCGGCTACGCCTCGTGTTTCATACCCGATAAAACACTCCTGCTCGTTTATTAAACAGTACATATTCTATATTATTTGTTCACAGGTGCCGAAAAATTGTGCAGAAGTTCTTAAAAGAGGTAAAAACAAAAGGGGTGTCAACACAGTCGATCCTGATGGCAAAGGGCCGTTCAAGGTAAAATTATAAAGTTTGGATATAACTCAGAAAACCAATTGCAAGTTTGCATGTGACATTTTCTTTCGTAGGTTTACTGTGACCAGAAGACGAGTGGAGGTGGATGGACAGTCTTTCAAAAGAGGCAAGACGGTTCAGTCGACTTCTATCGAGGTTGGGCTGACTATAAGAACGGTTTTGGTAACCTGAAAGGCGAGTTCTGGTTGGGACTGGATAAAATCAACCGGTTGACCCACCAGACTCGTAACCGTCTTCGTGTTGACCTACAAGACACAGCGCTTATGCTGAGTACGACTACTTTGCTGTGACCAGCGAAAGAAACAAGTACAAGCTGAGCCTTGGGACTTACTTAGGTAGAATATAGCCACTCAATTCAACAAATTAACATATGTGTCTTAGGTGTCTGTCCTCTTATTGAAGATAAATTGTGTCATCACATCGCCAAAGTAATGTGGCGGGATCCACGAGGCGTTTTTTTTTTCTACAATAACAAAAAACGATAAAGACGCTCAAAACAACCAACGGAAATAGCGCGCGCTTGTTGACGGTCAGCTTTATCTGTCTATCCTCTTATTGACGATTTAAAAAAAAAACAATTAGCGCGCGAAAAATGTTTAAGTTATTGTAAAAATTTATATTGCAGTCAGCCCCAACGCATTTTAGGCTGTTTTCGTTGAAGAACGACTTTAAGGTTCTACTGCGCAAGTCGGATTGAGGTAGAAAACCATTAAATATGTGAGCTACTTATTTAGACTCTACTCTCGTACTCATCTCTTCAGGTACTGCTGGAGACTCGCTGTCCACACATCGTGGCATGGCCTTTACTACAAAAGATCGTGACAATGATGTCTATAGTGGTATAAACTCTGCCGTGTCTAACAAAGGTGCCTGGTGGTACAAAAACTGTCATAACTCTAACCTCAACGGCATGTACCATCACGGACAACATAGTTCTTCGGCTGATGGAGTCAACTGGTATCATTGGAAAGGACATAACTATTCTGCTAAAAGAGGTGAGATGAAAATACGACCTGCATAAGATGAGATTAGTACCGAATACCTTTGAAATATTTCCTTGTAAGTCAATTAAATAAATAAATTAAAAGAAAATTTAAACGGTAATTGTCAGTTGTTCCATAGAGTGGATTGTCTTTCCTTGATTCCAACCAGACTTAGTTTCCAATTCATGTGGTTTTCGCAAAATTTCAACAGACCAAATGAAAAGTATTTAGTTGTAAGACCGACAAACAATATATAGAATTCTTTGTAGAAAATATTCCTCGGATGGTGGGAGACAATAGTAAATGTGTGTACAATTAGCCAAAACAATAAGTTACTTAAAACCCTTGCATATGAAAAAGGGTGCAATTGGAAATTGAATTTAGATCATCAGTGGAAACGTTTGCGAGCAGTGACGATCGTGACGATAAGCTTTTTATCATTCAAAAGGTTGGATATTAGCTTTTTATCATTCCCGAGGTTGGATATTAGCGATTTATTTCCTGGTTTGGAGCTGTTATTTACTGAACGTGTTGCGGCAGCTACCGATGATATTTTTTCTGAAGAAGGGGAAACGAGAGAAACGTTAACATTACAGTGGTGGCTGATGAAGAACTTGCTAAAGGAAATGAACGACATGGGAATAGCTTGACGTTACATGGTAAGTACTTCATTGCATTTGAGTTCATGCTAGTATATAATTGAAATAATTTATAATTAGCTAAGTTATTGCTAGTGGTGTAGTATTTAAGTAACTTAGTACATTTCATATTTGCACAAAAAATCGCACGATCTCGAGTACAATTCGGGATTTATAGGTACGAGTGATGTTTTGAATTTTTTTAAAATTGGACGATCGAGCTTTAATTTTGGCGAGTCTAATTTGAGAACTCTGAAAACATCACGAGTATCTATAAATTCTGAATTGTAAGAGAAGATTGTGCGATTCTTGGTCTATAATAGACTCAACAAAATTGAGCAACTTAATTGGGACTCTACAGAGTACAATTTGGAATTTAATTGTACTCCTCTTGTCCAATCATAATCGAGTAATTTTGTTGAATGTACTATATTAAATGTAGGAAAAAGAAGTGTTGATGAATTGAATAGCTCACTATAAATTCACCGGGCTATTTATGTAGCACGGTGAATCTATAATCAGCTATTCAATTCAATTCATCAACCATGCCTTTCCCTGCTGAATATCAACTTCCTCCCGGGGTTTTAAACTACTCTATTGTTCAAGCGGGCTCTATTAATGGTTTTCAACCATTCCCAAGAGAATTAAATAACAAAAAACACGGCGGACATGTTGGAGGATATAACAAAAGAATTAATTGACAATTCTTTTGTTAAATTCCTCCAACATGGCCGCCGTGAAAACCGTCAATTATATTTACAGCCCTATGAAGAACAAAGAAAAACAAGTGAATTGGGCCGGAACTAACTAAAATAAATTCCCCAAGGAATGATGCAAAAAGTGTTTTGTTACATAGCAACCGAGAAATATTGAGAAGTCAGATTATAAAATAAAAACTTTATTTTAGCAGGCTATTTAACGTAACTTATGAAAATGAAAATATGATTTTTACAAATACCACTACATATATACGGTATTGTATCTCGCAACCAAAAGGGGAGAAAAGCAAACAGCCTTTGTTTGTCGCCATTTTTTCGTCTTCTTCCGAATTCTTTTTACTCGGGCTTTCAAAGAAATGCCCGAGGTATAAATTGGGCTTTATTTGCGTTCTGTCACAAATCGCAGTTGCGTTCAAATCGCATGCGCAAGTTCTATGCGCGTGCGTAGTATGCGCCACATAAGCACATGGTCGAATGGCGGAATTTTTCAAGGTTTCGTCAGAAGGATGACAGTGTACACAAAGAATTCTTTCGATTTTCTGCTAAGAAGCCCGAGATCACGCAGATATTCGTCTAGTTCTTAACTGATGAAAGTCTGTATTTCTTTTTTCTGTAGTTCTAAACTCCTTTCGCACTAAACATTCCAACACCGTACCTGCTCTCCTGTGTTGTTTGTAATTCTGCACCCAGAATAAAAATACAAATACAAATCGGTAATAAACCCAAAATAATTTTGTTCCGATTTTTTATATTTAAAAAAAAAATTTTTTTTTGATATTTATAACTTTCAATTAGAATAGGTATTTTATTTATTTGATTACTTATCCTGGAAACAAAAGTTGCTTTTTTATTCTCTGCAGAGAACTCTAGATTCACTGGTAGTGATTCTTGCAGATATTTATACTTAACGTGGAAAAAAACTTCTCAATAAAGCTGAGCGCGATGATTTTAAATATTTAGATAAATATAGCAGTCTTTATAATAGAAAAAAGATTTATTTTGTCGCAAATATAATTTTGTTCCGTCCATTGACACTTCTGTTTGATTTTATGTATGTATATATTTGTCATATTAAAAACAATAGCTGAATAAATATAATATGGCACGTAGCCTCTTACTGAAACCTTGGCGTGTCAGTGATCAGCGAAGCATTTATTATATTCACAGATTGGGCTTCCTTGGTGTTTATATGGTGGTTATCATATTGTTTAGATGCTATATGTCTCGCCTTACGAATAAATATATTCACATTATTCAATGTAGTTTGTTAGCTTGTTTCAGCTGTGCCTCGGCTGATGTTAACATTTTGTTGTCAGTAGAGATGTAAAGCCGGAAATTGAAATATACACCGGAAGCAACCTAATTTTAATATATATTAAGTTCCTACAACAAGGTAATATTTACATCGTAAGAACACAGTGAATATCAGTATTTATAAGATTAATATCTATACAAGTTAGCAAAACAACAATAACTACTTCATGAAAACTTACACCAGATTTGGATTTTTTTCCCCCCCAAATTAATCTTGCTTATATGAGCCCACATGATCGAACTAGCGATGTTATAACGAAGATGTCAACGAATATTTTAAATTTAATTAACCAAACAGGTGCACCGCAGTTTTTATCTGGAACAACCGAGAATGATAGACAGGCAACAGTTTTAGATATACACTACCATCTTAACTTTAAACGAAGAAAAGTCAAAATGAACCAGAGCTGCTCCTTTCTCCGAAACCACCTCATTTTGCCGGAATTTCGTGCAAGTCTGTGTACTCTGTACCTTATTACCTCCCTATCAGCCGTTTCTTTGAATGTCTTAGTACTTTACACAATGTGGAGGACTCCAAGCTTACACAAGCCTTCGTATCTTCTTCTGGCTAATCTTGCATTGTCAGATTTCATGTATGGTGCGATTGGAGAACCGTTAATAATTCTGACACATTTTACGTACTTGAAAAACTTGACTGCAATCTATTGCTCCGTATCAGCAAGTGCTCAAGTTGTGGGATACTGGCTGGGATCTTCGTGTCTTTATACGTTGACTTTAATAAGCGTTGATCGATTGTTGGCCATTAGACTGAAAAACAGATATCGATCGTTTGTGACATCTCGACGTATCTGGATGGTGACCGTCCCTTACTGGGTGGGGATACTTGCCTTTTTGTTGGCTTTATTTATAGCAAATGTCCCATTTCTTGTGATAAACATCATATCTTCATTAGTCCTTTCAGTGTTGTTAACGACTATAATCGTTTGTTATTCCATGGCGTTCTACACATTGAAGAAGCTCACGTCTTCTGTATCATCGTCCAGTCAGCAACCAGACGAAGAAAGTACTAATTTTGATGTTTCAAAATACCGAAGATCCTTGAACACCATGTTACTTGTCCTGATGACAACTTTGCTAATGTACTTTCCATATTTTGCTTCCGCCGTAACTTATAGTATCAAGAATGGTGAAACAGTTGACCAAAACTCATATTCAGTGATATCATACGAGATGCTGTCGACGAGCGAGTTGATTATAGCAATGAACTCCACAGTGAATCCTCTGCTGTACTTGTGGCGTATGCAAGATATTCGTGAAGCAGTAAAAATAATGGTCAAAAAAATTTTAAGACGAAAAAATCAGTCAGATGAAGAGGAGCAAACTTAACTCTTTCCTAATGACCAATGAAACTGGTTTTCTTTTCTTTTCTTTTATTTGTCCATTTTTTCCATTTCATATAGTTTTTTTAAAATATTGTTTCAATTTTTCTCCTTTAAGTTGAATGCATATTGTTCTACCTTTTTTGTGCACCTGGTCATTTATTTACACACCTTATTTGCATTAAGTAAAAAAAAAATTAAAGTCACTAAAAATTGTCGTTAAACCCACACAAGTTGCTTTATAATGAACACTAATAACGCGTATGTATTACATATTAAGAGCTGATTCTGGCTGTAATTGGCATACATATTAAAATAATCGATCGAGTGTTATTTCTAAATGCTGATAAAATGAGAAACAAGGTTAAATACGAATGTATTGGTCACTATATATTTTAATACCACAGGTTATCAGGTTAAAATAAACATCGTCTATTTCTTCAGCACGTATATCATATATGGCTGTGTTCGCAGCGGATTGGTTACAACAAACTTATATACTTTTCCCTGATCTCCCAGCGCAGCCGCACAAACTAATTCAATTAATCATGTTGTGTTAAGTTTCTTAAGGAAATTCCCTTGAAATAGGAGAAAAGTCATTTTCCCCAAAATTTGTAGAATCGTTAATCGCACCTTGGACGTCTTAAACAAGCAGTAATGAAAGGAGATCACCATTCTCGTTTAATAATAATAATAATAACGGGGTTCTTATATAGCGCTTTTTACATGGTCTCAATGCGCTTCACAATCATGACCAGTGGAGGACTTTACGGGCTGCGTATTTAGGCGCTAGTAGCAGCCGTGCAGCTTACAATCATGAGTGATTTGTTAGTAAGTTAGTATTAATGCCTCCAGATTGGGATAGGCTGTTGAACCGTGAGACAATCCCCTACTCTTATACAAATAATTCAACAGGTTCTTTTATGTCCCCCATTTACTGTTGGTTAGGAAGGGTTGGGAGACAGGGCCTACGGTTTTAAGTCCTTGTCCTTGTTTCGTGCTACATGTCCTCAAAATATGACAAATTAAGAATATGGCTCATTTTCGCATCAAAATTGTAACAAACATGGAACTGTGTCTTATGACTAAGTTTTCCAAATTGCATGAATTGAAATGGAAATGTGTTATGTAGCCCATTGTGAGATATCGTTCTCGTTTCTATTAAACCTATTTGAGCGCCTGATACAGTTTGTTACTAATACCTTCGGTGAACTCGTACGTATTTCCCCAGTACTTATTTGCCAGCTGCAGTGAGGTATAATCAAATTAACAAAAACCACTAGAACAAATAACTTTGTTCTCTAGGAACTTTCATATTGGTATTGGGATTAAACAAATGTTTCCCCAGCAAATGGACTTCTTTCACTTGTGTCATCGTGATCTCTCAAGAATCAAGATTCTTTGTTTGACGATTACATCTATATTTCTGAGACATCTCATGTGCAACTTTTCCGACCGGAATGACACATGGCCTAAAATAAGAAACATTACCACGACAAAGCTAAAGATGGCAAAATATCTTTGCAATTTTCTTGCTTCAAGAAAATCTCAATATTTGCCCCTTTCCTATGCGACATCATAATATGAAACAAATCTGATAAAACGAGTTCGTGAAGCACTGTAAAATATCCGATCTATGCGTTTCATCAAGAGCAACCAAAAAATAAATATAATTAAATGAAGTGACAGAGTCTGAAATGCGAAAGGGTTTTTCAAAGATTTCCCTACTTCAACTTGACACTTCTAATATATAGCTGATGAAGATCCCATTAGAGTAAATGCATGACTTGAGGACCGCATTTGTTCGTAGGACCATGATGCATTTGGAGAATAAAGTACAGGTGCAAATCAAGGTTATTAAATCCTCACACAAATCTAATCATTTTAAAATTGTGTAGAACAGTTAAAGTGACCTTACTCTACACCCAAACCCGAAACGAGTAAAAGAATAACTCAAAATGAACCAGAGTTGTCTTTTCGACAATTTTTACCTGCGTCTGCCTGTGTTCCGTACAGTCTTATGCACATTTTACGCGGTAACTATACTAACAGCAGTCTCTCTCAACCTCACCGTCATCTTGGCGATTTGGAAGACATCTCATCTTCATAAACCTTCGTATATTCTGCTAGCCAACGTTGCGTTCGTCGACCTCTTGGTAGGAACATTAGTACAAACATCAGTTTTAGGTGTTAATTTTGCAGCTATGTACGACTTGGCAGAGTTACACTGTTATTCGATGATCATTTGCAGAATGTCTGGTTATTGGTTGGGAACTGTATCACTTTTTACTCTTACGGTTATCAGCATTGATCGTTTGTTGGCTGTCAAGCTTAAAAGTCGATATAAAAACGCCGTTACTTCCAAACTTATCTGGAGGACCTTGTTGTCCTGGTGGGTTGGTTCCTTTGCTGTGGTGTTAATATTTTTGACAATAGATTTGCCGATGAGCGTCCTTCTTGGTGCTGCAGGCACCTTGATAGTTTTGATGCTGGTTACTCTGACCGTCTGCTATTCCTTGGCCTTTTACCTCTTAAAAAGATATCAAAACCTCACGGTGTCGTCTGAAAGACCTAGTGAAAATGCTTTATCGAATTTCAATGCATCTAAATATCGGCAGTCCTTAAAAACTATGGTTCTCGCTATTTGCTTGATTCTTTTTTCATACCTTCCATATATGTGTTCAGCTATGGCCATGGCTTTCAAAAACGTGCAGAAATTTGATGAGAGCGAAACAGCAATAACGATTTTCAAATTCCTTATGATTGGAGAAATATTTATAACAAATAACTCGACAATAAACCCTGTTCTATTCTTATGGCGGATGAAAGATCTTCGAGAAGCAGCGAAGAGCCAAGCAAGGAAACTTTTCAGAGGAGAAAATGCTGTGGAATCCTTTGCCCTGTCTTCCTCTGCCTAATAAGTGGGACGATAAAGTAAAGTAGTTAAGTATAAGTGGGAATAGCAAATGTATCAAAGAACTGTCATTCTTTTTACTCACAAGAGTCGAAATCAGAAACGTCAATTTTCGTTAATCTTGCATGCAGTCGTTGAGAAGAGTCGCTTGAGGAGAGCAGAGTTTTCGCCGTTAAATTTTGTATGAGTTAATGAATTGATCAGAGCTTTAGTAATATGGCTTTTTCTTTGCTTTATCCTTTCCTTCCTTTCTATTTTTTTACTCACTTTTTTGTTATTCTTACTGTGTTTTTTTTTTTTTTTTTTTTTTTTTTTTTTTCTATTTTCTTGTTTTTTAATTTTTTTAAATTTAAAAAAAATTTGATAATAATAATAATTCTTCTGATGATACTCCTGCCAATGTTCAGTCGTTGCTATCCAGCAGTGCCTTCCGAAAGGAATCGTTCAGCTGCCTAAATTATTTATTCATTAGTTCGCTTACTTACTGAGGCGATGTATTAAAAAAAAGACTGCAAAGACCGAATGGAATCGGTAGTAAATATCAAAAGCAGAAAATGCACAGCTGGAACCAATTATTTGTTTTTCTGACCCCTAGTTACGTAAGGGCAGAAAAGAATGGACAATTACCTTGAGAAGCCCGTATTCAGTCAAGAAACAGCCAAGATATATAGACCTTATGAGAAAGGTTTCAATCACGAATTGTCAAATATGAGGAAGATGACGAGAAAGGAAACTCTAAGACAACTCAGAAACTAATGAATTATATGTCAAAATAAAAACCTTTTCAGTGCTTTTGTATTTTATTATACACTCAATAGTAAGTAGAGCACCTGGTGAGTGCTCTAAAAAATTGGGGGAAAAATCGGATTATGACCGATTTTTAAAATACCTCCTCCTTAAAGTTTTGATAATTTTGATTATTCTTAATTTACTTTTTTTTTATTTTGGGTGCCTCCCTAATTTTTGGGTCCTTGCTAAGTCCCAGAAAGCATGTTAATCGAACCTCACAGAAGAACTCCTTACGAGAAGTGATGTTTGCAAAATATAAGTTCATACAGTCAATTCAAAAAATGTTGTCGTCGACCAACTCAAGCCTACGCGACTGGACCGAAAGGAACTCTGGGTAGCAATCATTGAAGCCGAGTTGACTCCATAATTTTATCTGACTAGTTATGCCTGGTTTAAAGCACGAAACTTCGTAGGCGTGCGGAAATGTTGAAGGAGACTTTTCAGTGCCTTCACATTTTCGGGATTGTTAACTGAATCACAACTACTTTGTTTTTCTTTTCCTAAACCCAAAGACATGCATTTGATGGATTTTTTACTCGCCATTATTATCTTTACTACTAGCGGGAGCAATTAATTCAGAACGAATATTTAACCGCTTCAGTGATTTTTACCCATATTCCTTTCGGTCCAGTCGCGTAGGCTTGAACCGGTCGACGACAACGTTTTTTGAATTGACTGTATAGTATAGCTTAAGAAACGTATTGTATTATTATTATTATCATGTACGTACAGTTGATGTGATATTTTACAAACTTTATCGAGTAATAAAGATGTAGATGTAGAAAACACCCTGAAACCAAAATTGTCCATTATTGAGCCATATCGAACAAGGCGTCTGGAAGTTTTCAAGGACCACAAGCAGGAAGAGTTTTCCATTTATCCAGGTTGTCAAGCTCGCTCGCTTCGAACGGAGTGATGTTCACGTCTTAAGATTCTTTTGACTGTAGTTTTTACTTCTTGACGAATATCTTGCATGCGCCACAAGTACAGCAGAGGGTTCACTGTGGAGTTCATTGCTGCAATAAGATCACTTATGCGAATTATCTTGTAAATTGTAATCGAAGAAAGACCTTTTCCATTAATGATAGAAAATGTGGCAGCCGAACAAACGTATGGTAGATACAACAGTAAGGACGTCAACATGACAATCATCATGGTGTTCATAGATCTTCGGTATTGCGAGACATCAAAGTTACTGCTTCCGTTGTCTGATTGTTCGCTGTTAGAGGATACAGAAGACGTAAGCTTCTTCAGTGAGTAGAACGACATGGAATAACAAACGATTATGGTTGTGAGAAACCCGAAAAGAAAAAATGAAGAAATGATATATTTCTGGTAAGGTAATGCATTTGATAAAAATACGGTCAACAGCAGTATTCCGAACACCCCCAACCAAAAAGGGACAGTCACCATCCAGATACGTTGAGATGTCACAAACGATCGATATCTGTTTTTCAGTTTAATGGCCAACAATCGGTCAACACTAATAAGAGTCAAACAGTACAGAGATACAGCAGCTAACCAGTATCCAATTAGATGAGTAATAGCAGCTATGTAACAATATTTTGTTTTCCACTCCTTAATGTAAGCAAAGTTGGCGAGTATCGTAAAAGTATTTGCAAACGCTCCAAACATAAGATCTGACGATGCAAGATTAGCAAGAAGAAGATATGAAGGCTTGTGTAGAGATGGATTCTTCCAGATGGAATACAGTATTAAAGAGTTCAAAGATACGGCTGTTAGTGATGTAACTGCATATAACGTGGATAGAGTTATCCGAAACGATGGCAATTGAAGGGAGGCGTTGTATGAAAACGATAAACAGCTGTGGTTCATAGTTTTGCTGTGAAACTCAGGCAATTTGAATATGGTCCAAATAAAGTAGTCATGTTCACTGAGTCTAACTCCACTAGTTTTTTTAGCTCTACACCTGTTTTAGTTAAATGTAATTATGTCTGTTCCATCATTACAAATATGTATTTGAGTTTAGTTGACAACTACGACCTTGCTGACCATTGAGCGCTTTTATCTTTTCAAAGTGGTTATTAAATGTAATTATGTCTGTTCCATCATTACAATTATATATTTGAGTTTAGTTGACAACTCTGACCTTGCTGACCATTGAGCGGTATTCTATTTGCAAAGTGGTTAATCTAATATTACGATTTCCTCAAATCTGATTGGCTGAGAAACTACTCAGTCTATTTTCCATTAATCTATCTGTGCTAATCGTAATTGGGCACCCGTGTAATTGAAAAGTTGGTTGAAACCGGACAATAGTAATCGAACAGTTTCATAGGCAAATCATTTTGATGCTTTTCAATAAACCCAGTAATCAGCCCAATCTATTTAATATAAGAATTCTTTAAAAAAGAAACGTTTTCCGTGATGATTTTGATTTATGTTAACATTTTTAAGTTAAGCCCTTAAAATGTAGTGGTGCTTGTCAAGTTGACATTTATTGATTGTGAAGAAGATCAAGTACGGTCTTTAGCTCCTTCCTTTTTTTAAGTTATACTATTCTTTTTCTCGGAAATTGTAATAGTTATAATGATTTGAACTGAGACAATTAAGATACAGCGTTATTTTTGAAATGAATTTTTAACTGAAAGCGCGATGAACTATCCAAGCTGGGTGCATTGAATGGACCCACCAAACTGTGTAAGACGAGACTGACAAAAACAATGCTATACAAAATTAAAAATTTGGATTTGTGCCAGGCTTTAATAGTATTAATTTGCCCATTGTTAATGGGTTACCTGTGGAGTGAAATTATGGGATAGAAGCACATGGTCGAGAGCGGAGAGAAGGGAGGTTGGCGGGCAAATGGTCGAACCTTTATGATCCTTTATGACCCTTTATGATCCTTTATGATCCCTTTGATTCCCATTTGTGATCCCTTTTTTATTGTTGATCAATGTAAATCGATGTAAACAAGAAAAGGTTAAAGTAAAGTTTAAGATTGTTGATCAGAAAGGTGTTATTCGTCGATCAAACCGCTCGCCGAACGCAAACAACGTCACACCCATAGTCTTCATAACAGGGCTCTGAGGCGTTCAGATGTTGTTGATGGCCTATACCCCACGAGGGGTGTACAGGCTTAGGAGGAGGAGTCTTCATAACTCCAAGTGCATCATGGTCTTACAAGCAGATGCGGTCCTCAATTCATGTACTCGTACTAATAGTATCTTCATCAGCTATATTGAAAGTGTCAAGTTGACGTGAAACCCTTTCGAGAAACCCTTTCGCACATCAGTCTCTACTAGTATTATTCCTATTAATGATATTTATTTTTTGGAACTCCTGATGAAACGCGTAGATCGGTCTTCGACATTGCTTCTCAAACTCGTTTTATCAGATTGGTTTCATATTATGATATCATCAAAGCCCAAATATTGAGATATTTTTGCTTTCAAGAAATGCACGTAGATGTTTAGCCATTTTTTCACAAGGCAAAGTAATCCGTCATTCGCTAGGAAAACATTTGTTTGATCCCGATACCACTGATGTGACAGCTCCTAGAGAACAAAGTCATTTGTTCTCGTGAATTTTTGCAAATTTGATTATACCTCACTACAGCTGGTAAATACGTACTGGGGACATGAGATGACTCAGGAACATAGGGTTCAAACAAAGAATCGTATTTTTGAGAGATGACAAATGACACAAGCGAAAGAAGTCCATTCGCTGGGAAAACACTTGTTTGATCCCAATACCATGTGCCAGTTCCCAGAGAATAAAGCTATTTATTAAAATGATTTTTTGTGAATTTGATTATACCTCACTGCAGCTGGAAAATACGTACTGAGGAAATACGTACTGACCAAAGGTTTTAGTAACAAGCTGAATTATCAGGCGCTCAAATAGGTTTCTGTACATAAAAACAAGAACAATATCTCATGCTGGGCGACATAGCGCCTGAAATGCACGATTTCCATTTCAATTCATGCAACATTTGGAAAACTTGGTCATAAAGCACAGTTCCATGTTTGACGAGAAAATGAGCCATATCCTTAATTTGTCATACTTTGAGGACAGATAGTCCGAAACGAGAATGGAGATCTCCTTTTTAATGCTTATTTAAAGCTTCAAAGGTACAATTCACCTGTTCGGACCGTTCGGACCGTTCGGACCGTAGTCTCCAACTACATGAATAGTCGAGCCATTGACTCCAACATGCGTATTTATTAACTCCAGTTTGACAATTATTCTACA